GCATTCCCCCAGAGGAGCTGGAGGAAGTGTCTGGAGAGAGGGAAGTCTGGGTATCTTTGCTTAGACTGCTGCCCCCGCGACCCGGTCCCGGATAAGCGGAGGAAAATGGATGGATGGATGGATCATTTTGCCAGTTTATGGAGAATATTATTGTTCTAAAATAAATCAATGCAATGATTGATTTTTTGACAAGTTACTGTATCTCATGCTATCAGACCTGACAAAGAGAATGTGGCAGAACATACTTTGTATTATGCAAAGAGAGTGAGAAACCCACTTTACAAGCTTTTGGACCAAATCTGGTGTGTTTGGAGATATTATTTGAAATCAGGTCTGAACTGTTATCCGATCAGAATCAGCCAGCGTAACTGGCTTTTATTTAAGTCCTCACATTCAATGATATTAAACTGAAAGGGAAACTGGGAAGGCTGTAGATGTTTCTGTACATTTTAAACTGAATTCAGTATACGTAGATAGATTTAACTAATAGTTCTTGTGTCCTGCCCCCTCCACCGTCTGTCTGTGGACAGCAACACAGCTGTGCTACAGCATTGTATCATGATCCTTTCAGCTGATCACAGAGCACTGAAAGAAGAAATACACCTGAGGCTATTCATGTGTGTGTCTGACACGATGAGTGTCTGTAGATAACCGGAAGGTAATGCATGCCTTGTCTCAGGTGGACAGCAGGAGGGAGTGTGTGCTGCACTCTCAGAGCAGAGAGCTCAGCAGTTTCATGCTCCTGAGCGTGCGCAAACCCGTACCCGGTTGCAATGCACAGTGAAGTCAGAGAAAGAATGAGGTGTTCAGAGAATAAGAAGCAAAATGAACTTCGGTATAAGGCCATGTTTGTATTTATTTGGGTCTGACTGGAGTTGAAGTCTTATTAGCATGAAGATTCCTGTTTGTATTACTGCCCCTTCATGTGTGAATGGTTGGCTTAAGTTGTGTTGGTAGCACCCTACGTTTGCTTGACATCACCCAGTTCCATGATGTTCATATGTCTACTTAAAATATTGTCATCCTGATTTTCCCATGTATGTTTGGTCAGTTCTGTACATACATTCTTTTGCACATCTGTCTATCCTAGAACAAGAATCCCTCCTCTGTTGCTCTTCCTGA